ATCGAAAAAACTGATTTTAAAAAATTATAAACCATTTCTACGAAAAGCTGTTATTTTCATATAAAATATATTCAAAACTTTCAGCGCTTTGAGCGACCTCTAAATATTTTTTGATTTCGGAATAAAAAACAGGGTTTTTTTTTGGTATAGAACAATCCTACGGGGTGAGAGCATTAAAATTTTAACTTTACTTTTCTATTTGGACCACCCTAATGTACATACAAATGCCTCTTTTTAAGTAACTTAACAAATAAGTACATACATATGTACATATGGTTTCGTTTTTTACCAGACTTCAACTAAAAAACTGGTTGGAACCGTCTGAAATTAATGCTGGGATGCTCAACTTTAATTTGCATTACTTTATCTAGGTACATACATATTTCTGTATTTTACCTGGTCTTTATGCTGTGCAAATAATTTTGTCTTTCAACAAAAAACAAAAAAAAAAACAGTGCGACGAGAAAAAAGCCAAAACAAGAAGAAATGATTAACTTTATCAACTTTCTTAGAAGTTATGCTAAATATAGGAGTTATTGACAAAGTTTGGGGAACTGTTTAAAAACGTAAGCATTTAAAATAAGTGTAGGTAGTTTCTAAAAATTTGAAGATCGAGAAATATTGAATATCAAACAAAATTCTATAGCACAGTAAAAGTTTGTCGACTTTCGAGGTTCATGTGCGGTTTTCAGTTTAAAAGAATACCCATGCAGTGAAAAAAAACGAAAAAATATAGATAAAAAATGCGAAAAATATAAGTCATAAAATGTCTGCAGTTAAACAATTTCAATGCGAGAAACTTGTCTGTCACCAGTACATCCAAGCCAACATTCAAAAGTTGTATTCCAAGCGAATTTAAGTTAAATACTTTCGGCAGTCACTGTAACAAGAAAGTTTCATGTAATGAGTCATAACAAGTACAAGATCTTTAATTTCGTAAACTTATAATTTAATTGCCCATTGTTAAAATAAATGAATGAATCATAAAATTTGCATAAAAACCACAATCAGTTCGAAAGAAAAATTTACAAGATAAATTTCTTAAATAAGTATGTATTGCAAAAGTATTTTAAAGGGAAGGCTAAAGATCTGTTTTTAATGAAAAGAGGCTGCTAATTAAGAAACTTACTCATGATATCTCGTTTCCAAGAAGCATGAATACGAAAAGAGGAACAGCGGAGATCGACAATGGAAAAACAAATACCGAGAAAACTCCAAATGGATTTTTATTTTATTTTATTATGAGCTGTTTGCAGCTCTCAAAAAAAATCACAAGAACTATTTGTGATTATTTCTGTTGCTTAAAAAAGTACTTTATTTTTTTGCAGTAAAATTTCTTGAAGAAATAAATATACTTCCGAACATTTTTTTCTTGAGAGCTGCAAACTGATTTAAGAAATTTTGATAGAAGAAAATTACTTTTATATTTCTTGTGCGTCTTTAGAATTGCAAAAGGCCCTTTAAGTAGCCGTTAGACAAGTGCAAGTATTTTTGAAAAGTCTGTAAACTCAAGTTTTTGCAAAAGTGATTACAGGAACAGTTACACCTTGCATGTCAAATGACTTTGGAAAGCAGTTTTTATTTCCGAAAATCAAGCTTTACAAAACTACTTTCCACTTTCAATTATGTTACGAGACATTTTTATGCCCACAAAAAAAAATCAAGGACTTAAAAATTTCACTAAAATAAAGAATAAGAAAAAATAAGTGGACTTAATACAGGTTAGTTGAGTTATGCAAATTTTAGGAATGAAAGTAGACTTTCGATTTCGTATTTTGACAGCTAAATGCTTAGAAAAAACCGCTTATATTGCCACGTCTAATCGCACTTTTAGATGGCTTACCAAAGAATGTAGGGAAATAAAAAAGAACACGCTTATTTTTTATGTTACTTTCACTTTTCTGCATACAAAAAGATCATCAAATATATGTACATACGTTTGTATGTATAGATATGTAGCTCTTCGCCCATACTAACAGACCATTATAAAAAGGAGACGTGCTTTTGAAGCGAATGAAAGCTGCACATAGTTACGTAATATTGTTGAAAGATTTTTGTTTGTGCTCCAACAATAAATAAATGCATTTGAATAAATCAGCATTTACTTAAGTGTTGGAAACGAGTTTTAATCCGTTAGGACGTTAATTATTACTTAATGCCATAAGTAAGCACTAGGTCTAATAAACACTGCTACAAAATTTTTAAAATCTAAAAATTTGAAATTTTTGTAAACAAGTTCGATTAAACTAGAAGGGGGATTGTATTTGTATTAATGAATTTAAAAAGGGTGAGCGAGAATAATATGCGTTTTCGAACTGTGAAAAATTTTACTAGGCCCAGAATAGTTGTTTATCATTTTATTAGTCCATTCTTGAAAACTCGACCTCTACTTTAAAAACTTTAGCAGATCTACTGGCCAGTTTTTCAAACCCATGCTCAAAACCAAGAAGTTTTGAGGAAATCCGGAAGGCAGCTGTGAATGTGGCACACAAGCAATAGCCTCTGATATAAAATTTTCACTTAAGAAATTTACCAGATAAAATATTTGTAACATTACGAGGTCTACATTAGGACATTTAAAGAACACATAAACACTCCTCCAAAAAGTCTGGAGTATGAAGTTTTATAGACCAAATATTTTTGAAAAATTCAAATTCAAAAGTTCGAAACATTGATGACAATTTATTGAATTTTCCTTAATTTTGTAAGTTTGAAAATTGGACTTATGTGATTTGGGTCAAAGCTTGGATAATATTTTTATAGAAACCAATGACGTAAGGACGAGTACACCTAAAAGTTAAACATTCTAAAAATAGATTTATTAACCAAAACCAACAACCACATGATCAAGTGTAAATGCGGAAAAAGTGGAAAAAGCAACAACAGTTTATAAGGCGAACTTAGTACAGTGTGTAGGCCACTGGCTGAGTCAGCTGGGGTCGTTGGATCGAATCCCTGTCTGATGAGGAGAAGTGGTGATCTCCATTTATAAAGTATTGTTGTTTTGCTGCTATGACGATTTGACGATTTTTTACTGCTATGACGATTTTTATTTATGTGCAAATTTGGCACGTTCTCCACTTTGAAGATAGTTACACATGCAACTAAACATTGCAGTGTAAACACTTGTTCAGAGTTTAACATTTCTTCTAATACATAATTGTGGTATCGAAATTATATCATCTGTCAGCACTAATAGCAGTTATCGATAAGTAGTTTTCTTCTTTGTTTCAGAACTCTTTGTGTAATTTTTGGCGGTCAACTTCTTAATTTGCGTTGTAACGTTTTGAGCTGGTACATATTGGTGCAGTGAAATAAGGCCCGTGGAAATAACGCCCGCGGACTTTATTTCCTACAAAACTTATACAAAGCCCGCGGGCATTATTTCCCTTTCGAAATGGAGCCCTTTCCATTTTTTAGGAAATAAAGCCCACCTACCAAAGGAAATAAGGCCCGCGGGAATTATTTCCTTTCCAATAATGCTCGCGGGCTTTGTTTCCTAAAAAAAGGAAATAAAGCCCACGGGCGATATTTCCGCGGGCGTTGCTTCACTTCACCGTCCATATTTTATTGAGCGAAGGGAATTTTGAATAAGTTCTTTAGCAAAACTTGTAAGTATGAACAGATTTTAATGCACATAGTTAAGTTGCGGTTTGAAAAAAAATCCTTAAAATGAAAATATGATATTATTGCAATTAAAACTAATTTTGTTAAAGTAATGAAAATTTTTACGATTCGTAAAATATTTTAACTCTTTATTTTTTACGCTAGCAAACAGAAGTTTCAGTAAATTGAAAAAAAAAAACCAAAAGAGCTTCCTGATTATATTTATAAGATTTTTTACATGTTGACGATTTTTGAAAACCAAACTGACGATTTTCCACCTCAATCACCTGTCAACACTGCAAAGATCGAACTTATTTTCTACTGATTCTAGTGACGACACGCTACCCGTTTCATTTCGTTAGCATACGGATTTTTGAAATGAATTGTTTTGAACCTCGGGTCGAGTTAAGTTGATGCAGCTAGCAAAAAAGAAGTTTCGATGGATGGATTTTAGACAAGTACAGAATTCATATTTCATACAATTAATCGATAATGCAACACAAAACTACGACACAATTACTTGACGGTAAAAAAGTGGGGCGTATTTGAACCTAAATTTCAGAACAATTTGCTAATGGGCAAGTAAGTAAATACTCAACCATTTTCCAAACAGAAATTTTTCAAATTGAAATCCGCGACCGCGAATGTCTGCGTTGAAGGACTAATGGGGATATACATATATACATAACTCATGTAAAACGGCATCAAGGCCTGTAGACAACTCTAAAACGCACCTAAACAAATTAAGAATACATTACAAGGTTGCCTTATGGTGAGTTCCAGGCCTTCAGTTTTCCAACGGAGACTCTATGGCCCGCAGCCTTTCTGTGGCCCATAGAAAGTATATAGAGCAGAGCTTCTAAATAGGCTTGAGGACCCTCAGATTTGCAGCCAATGGTGTATGTCAAAGCGGAAAAGACAATCCAGGAATTATTGACCAAACCGCCTAAGCTAGCAATGAGAGCCTAAGAACGAATAAGTACGGATCGTTTGT